GAAAGATACTCCCCGACGGACTCGGTCGACGACATTATTGCATCTCCGAACCTTTCTGATTATTCCCTCGAAAATGGGGCCGGCACCACTCCCCCGAGTAAGAGTAAGGTGAATGGCAAGGGTCGGCCACAACGTCGACCTTCTAACCGCGACGAATTCGACGGCCCGCATCAGTTTCTCGCTCGCCCGCCGCCAGAATACATTGCGATGCAAGAACGCGAACTGCCCCATCTCCCCACCAACCTCCACGTTCAAGAGCAGGACTTGGTGCTTACGCAAGTCAACGACAGGCTCTCTCAGTGCGCGTACGACTTTGTGGCTAAATACCAGTTCCCCATTCCTTTGACACAGGACATGCGACCTGTTGAGCGACCTCAGGACCGAGAATGGACAGAATGGGTCTACCTTCTGAAGCGCCTAGCTACGAAGCGCCGCATCCCGGCGCGGGTACTTTACAACGGCCAAATTAAGCAGTTTGTCACGATTCTCGAGAACTCACTGGAGATGCGACATGCGGCCAAGCACCAGAGTCGCCCATTAAAGGACGACCGCAACATTTTACAGCTCATTTCGGCGGGCATTCAGGTAGCCAAGATCCTCAAGGACGCGAGCGCCATGGACTACCTCGACCGACTATACGTTTCTACGGAGAAGCAAATTCAAGACCGTGCTGCACAGCGGTTCAGAAGCTAGTGTGCTTGCATGCTTCCTCCTATCATATACTCGCCCAGGCCGAAGTCGACAGCCTCGCCGTGCGCAGCAAACCACGGCGAGTGTTTCGATGCTGTTGGCCATTGTGGCACTTTGTTTACGACATTTTACGGACCTTACGAACTGAAAGTTATTGCAGAAGGGCGGAATCCACCTCGTTCTTTAGAAGAAGAGAAGAAGAGAGTAAATGATTCCTCGATACGGAACCGGGACGTCATCAGGACGACAGCGCCCCCAAAGGCACGACGCATGAGAACACACCCACAGGCTCTAGCTTAGCTCAATGCTCCACCTCTCGGCAAAGCGAGTTGCGTCTTGTTTGTTTTTTAATCTGATTTTTGTACGAGAAATGGTAATGGCGCTCCATTGTGGGCAGAAAACCTCCTTTACTTCTGCAGCCTCCAGGGACTCTCGACTGAACTGCCTCTTTACACACATACATACCTTTACTTGACCCTTTACGGTTTGGTTCCGCAAGCGAAAAGGGGTATGAGCATGCTACAGGGAAAGCGATGGGCGCATAGGTTCATCAGGAAAGGGCGGAAACCTCTTTGTACGTTGGTACTGTTATTTTGGTGGTTTTGCTATTCGTTTCTGCACTGCCACGGCGTGGTTTGGGGGCCTGGAGTTGTTTCAATGGGTCATATCTTTTTTGACAGACCCCCTTCACCTACATTGGGCTACCGGAAGGTTGTTTTGACACGTGTTTGTGCGGTTCACGAGACAGAGAGGAGAGAGCAATTTGGACATATCCCTCCTATACTATTGTTGTTTTCTTCTCTACTCACTTGATTTGGGCGGCTTAAATGAGCCTTTGGTAGTTTGATATCCCATAGCCCGTGGCTGGGCGCGCTCTCTCAGCGCCAAGAATCTACGCAGTGTACTTCAGAGGTGCCGGTATCCAGTTCGTACACGTCATGACTTGAGGCGCTCTGTTCGTTGCACGGCTCCTGACTCCTGCCATCAAGTAGGATGGGGACCCGGGTACTCTCTCGTCTTCCCTGCGCATGTTCCAGGAGCCAAAGCTACGATATCTGGCTTGTCAACCCAGCATAACGGCAGCGACCATGGGACAGGCGTGGCAGGAACCCAGGTGTCCGCCGGCTCTGCCCCTATCCTATCGGTGCGACTTTGTTACCCCCACACCCGACGGCGCTTGGGTTGGGCTGAAATGAACGGTGATCATCAGCCGATGGGGTTCCTGCTTGCGTGCCTGACGGGGTGACTTGGGCGGGAGGGACCACCAAGGGCCATCAGCGGCGATCGATGGAGGTATCCTACACTATCACTTGGCCAAGAACGGGGAACGCAAACCATAAAATGATTTAGGGAGCTCTGTAAGTCAATGGGGAGACCGTTGTGTCGCATCCCGCCTGATGGGTCCCCCGGGGAAGAAGGGCCAGGGCCGGGGGGGCGAAGTAGTGAAACCGGGGGGTAAGCAAGCTGTCGGAAAAGTGAGTTGAAGATGGATGGGAAAGAAGGGATGCGATCTGCGCGCCGCCTAGAATCCCGTCGGACTGCGCCGCGTGCCCCCTTTGACAACTCATGTCAAAGGCGAGGCAAAGAGCCGATGAATAGTATGATGTAGACTTACACTTTCCGGTGATTGGTAGGGTTACATAGACAGACATGCAATGAGGTTGCTGGTGGGACTGGTGTGGTCGTGTTGAAGAATGACAAGCAAACCGGGGCACATGGCAGACAGGCCGAAGGGCCACATCCTGGCTTGGGCTCTGTTTTGCAATCTTCTCCCGTTCTGCCGCCCACATAGCGGCGTTCAACTGACACATTGTCGCAAAGGATGGAGTTCCCTATGCTTTGCTATCAGTACAGGTAAGGCAAACTCCAGGGCGCGAACAGACAGGCTGGTGCTGGGAACAAAGCCCATGAGCACAGGGAAGCAAGGATGCGACAGAGCGGAATTCTGGAAGAACGTTAGAGTCCGGTAGAAGGTGGTTTCGAATCTTGGCTGACTAGAGAGTGAATAAGCAGAGCTGTGTGGCAGGACAAGGTTCGTGATGCTCATGGTTGCCGTGGTTTGGATGTTCTATCTTGGGGCCATTTTCCCACTGTATCAACTTGAAGTGGTGGGTAACCTAAGCAATTTGGAGGACGCAGTGGAAGAAGTTGGTTCGTCCCGGCACGCGACTTACTGGGTTTACCCGGGCAGAATTGGAACGTGCTTCTGTCTGTGACGAGGGTGCTGTGCCAACTTCGGACTCGGGATCCTGAATCATTGTTTCGAGGTGTGAGAGCTAGTTTCGTGTCGGGGTGGATCGTGGACTGCATAATCGACGATGCTATAGCCGGCCTGTTGTAGTTGGATATTCTGCCTTCAATTTCGCTAGTTTTCGACGGGATCCCAAAAGAAACCACCGGTCCTTGTGTAGTGTCGGCCAAGCTGCCTTGGTAAGAATGACGGCAGGCTAGGAATGACGGCAGGATGCCGACGGAAGCGGCATATAATCCAGCAAAAGCAGCCGTTTTCCTCTTTCCCCCCCTTGAGCGAGTGGCGATATGCGACCTTGGGCACCGGCGTCAGCGGGGAGGCCGTGCCGGGCGGCATGGACCCGTTTAGCTTCCGCGCCGAACGGGGTTTATGGTCTGAGCTGTGCCAACTTCGACTTGCAAACAGGCAGACAGGTGTATTCGTACGTTGTGCGTGTACGTCCTAGTCAAGCGCCGCGCGCGCTAAATCTTATCTTGGCGGGGGATGCTGGGTGCTGCTCTCGTCACACGAGAGAGAGGGGCGTGATGATCAGCTTGCCGGACTTGACATTGTGTCTTTAGTAGGGAAACAAGAATGGCGTTGGCGTTTCCACGGTGGTGTCGTGGGGATAAAGGTCGAACGCCGGCGGGTTGGGAGCTTATCCACTCTGGCAGATCCGGGGGGTGATTGTCCTCTGATACATGAGTGCAGCTAGATGCTTGGAGACGGTTCGTGATGCGAAGAACGACAGGACGCGGAGTGGCGGAGTGTGGGAGGTTGGTTTGAGTCAAGGTGCACTCGAGGCTTGATGTTATGACTGCTGGGGGGTTTGATATCGACGGGGAGCGGGATGCAATCCTGAGGGATGTTGGATGACGGTCAATCATCAAGGGTCTTGGGGCTCGGGCCGGTTCGCTGGTGTGAGCTTTACTGTCGATCTCTGCGGCATTCGTAAGAATGGAAAAAGAAAATCAGTCTTTTCGGATATCAAAGGTTCGTGGTGAAAATAAGTCCAACGTCGGGTTGGCGTTGCATTGATCAGGCGCCTGTCAGGTGATGGAGGTCGAATGGAGGAAACAACGTTGGTTTGGTTGGGAGAAAGGAAGGGGAAAGGGCCGATTGCCAGCAACATAAAGCTGATGCACATCAGGTAAGGTAGGTGTAGGTATTAGCTTTCATCTCTGGTGCCTTCCGTTCATGCCACCCTGATTAAATAGAACTTTCCTGGAATCCAACCTTTCTCGCCACGGAACGGGGCCGCGGCATCAAGTGCGTTCTCCGGTGGCAAGAGCCGGAATCAGCTTCGGTCACGACGGTCACCGGTGCGGCAAAAGGGTCCTCCCGCACCTCCGGGCCCCGGTGAGCGGCCGGTGATGGATCGGGTTAGAGCACCCTCATTCGTGGAGCAAAGGATCCACCTTCGGTCCCAGAAAGGGACTAGTGGCTCAGCTGGGCCGAAGGAGCGGAGACCAGGACCAGCTCATTCAGCAGCACAGCGTGCCCACAAGAAAGTACCTTACAGGTTGACGGGTCTGCGCGGGATGGCTGCGGCGCCGCTGCTTACTGGTCGCGCTGCTCATCTGCTGTCATGGGGGTGAGAGTGTGACAGCGCCGTTTCCCCCCCCCTCGTATTAATCTTGTTGGCTGCCCTTTTCGCACCGTCTCTCCTTCGTTCCCGCTCTCCTGCATGACTTTCCCGAGCGGTAAAGAACGGTGAGAAAAGGGCAACTTGTGAGATTGAGCAACATCTACTCGAGTTTGGCCGACGACATTTCAAACCGCGAAACTCCGAGTTGTCGAGTGTTGAAAGGGAGAAAAGACAAGACGAGGCCTGGCATTTTCGCTTGTACAGAAAGTGACCCCCGCGTCAGTCCCCGAGATTGGGCGTAAGCAGACACAGCCCCCCTCCGGATAACTGGCCATTCGACGTTGGGAGGAAACAAGGACCTGTTGTTCGGTTTTCTCAAAAGAACCACAAGGGGCTACGAAATCATCGAATCGAACCTACCGAGCGGGTTGAAAGCGCCGGGCGACTCAACGGTTCGCCACTTATACGTCCTGCCTGCTCGCAGACATTGCAATGGCTTCTGTTTCCTCGAGGGGCCCGACGCCTCATTCGCCTTACGATGTGCAGTCCGCGGCCGACACCGAAGAATCATGGCAGTATCTCGACTACGCCTCGTACCCGGCCTCAGTCGGCTTCCTACCCAGCCCGGCCAGCGGCAGTCTCAACGGCTTTGCAGTCGTCGGCCACCACGCCGGCTCGGACCCGGCGGGCTTATCCCCGCTAAATCTCGATCTCGACCAGCCCGCCTTCTCCGCCTCGAGCTTCCCGGACCAAGCGGAGGCGTTTGCTGCCCCGGCGCCGTCTGTTGATAGCCAGTTCGTTCCCAGCGGCCAAGAATCCAATTTCTTGACACCGCAGGGCTTCCTCTTTGCAGAGGAGCAGCTGAACCTGAACGGTCAGTCCTAACTCCACCCCTGCCCGACTGTCAAGTATACGTGAGCTAACCAGCTTTGTTCTCAGAACTGACATCTTTCGTCAACTCATTCCAATCGAACAATGCCTCCCTAACCGGCTTAGATACATTCCCGCAACAACAGCACGATGGCGATATCGATCTGTCACAGACCTTCTCTCCCAGTATCAACCCGGGCCCATGGAACCCCACGAACCTCAAGGTCGACAATGGCAGCTCAATGTTCTTGATGGAGGACTTTTCCGCAACCTCGTCTCAGAGCTCCACATCCACAAGCCCCTCTCAATCCAACTCCAGCTCCCCAGACCTCAAACATGAGGGCGACAGGGCAGCATCGGCCAGCCAGATCCGCAAGGTCATCACCGGCAAGGTCGAGAAGAAGAAGGCCACCGAACCCGCAAACAAATTCGTCATTGTCACGCCCAACTCCATCAATGCCTCCTCGGGCCGTCCCAACCCGTGGGAGTGCTTCGAAGCCATGAAGATTCAAACGCGCGGTCGCAAGGGCCCTCTGGCAAACGCGACAAAGGAGAGTGCACTCCAAGTCCGCCGTTTGGGTGCCTGCTTTTGCTGCCACAGCCGCAAAGTGAAGTGTGATTCGCAGAGGCCGTGCAAGAGCTGCAAAAAGCTCGCCGGCCAGGTGCCGCAGGTCGTCTGCTGGCAGTTTTCCGACTTCTTGACCGTGTTATTCCCCGACTTCATGCGCAGCCACTTCCGCAAGGATCAAATGTCGAAATTCATGGCGGAGAATGTCGACCTCGACGCGGTGCAACTAGCGCCTCGGGAGGTTGAGCTCTTTTCTGGTCTTTCGGCATCGCTCAAGGTTCGGGCGAGGTTCTTCAAGCCTCGGACGGAGGAAGTGCAGCAGCACTACCATCTGCATGTGCAAAAAGACCGGGTAGACCTGCAAGCCAGAGGCTCGGCACCTATGGTGTTGGAATTGGATTCGGCAGGTCAGAGGGAGGCCTTGAGGAAGAAGGTAAAAGAGTATCTCGCCGCCATTGCAGCCGAGCCGAGGTTCGCAAAATCAGTGACAGAGTCAATACGGCACACGGAGTTGCCAAAGAAGGTGTTGGATGTTGTGCAGATATACGCCAACAAGTCTGATGTAAGTTGCCGTGCGATTGACTGTCTTGCGTAAGAGCATTGGTTGACCCGACTCAGTCGTCAATGGTGAAGAAGGCGTTGGCGATCTACGGCGCCCATTTTGTCATGACCCGCCACCTCTGCATCACAAGGCAAAGTGTTGTGGGCCTCCAGGACTCCGGTCTCGTCCCTCAGGAAGTACCGTGGGTGACGCCACGCGTCGTCAACAGGCAGATCAAGGCGGTGATTGATGAGCTCCTGATGAGGGACATGCAACACCTCTTCGAATCCTTCTCAAAGCTACTCAAGCCCAAGTCAAAACAGGAGTGGGCGCCGTGTATGGCCTCGTTCCTGGTGCTGTGCCTGTTCATGGAATCGGTCGAGACATCTGCGGATAACTTTGTGGTGGCACTCAACGAGATCAGCCTGCGTAACCACACGCCGCCGGAATACAAACGTCAAGATGCCCTGAACATTAACGCAGCAGTCGAAAACATGCCGTTCAAGCAGTTCGCGTACCAGTTCCACCAGATCTACCAGACCCACAGCCGGGACACGGCGAATAAGCCCTTCAATCCCATGCTCGACAACTCTTGGGCCCAGCAAGGCGACCTGGACGGACCAGCCATAGAGATGGTCTTGGGCCTGAAGAATTTGATCCAACAGAATGGTAGGCTGGCCCGAGAACCCAATGGTTGAATCATCAATGCTGACTTGTGGTGTGTAGGCAAGGAACTCGAAGGCTTGGCGGATGACCCAATTCTATCGAGCGACCACGAGCAGCACCCGTTCCCACGAGACGTAGCGGCCAACTATACTGGCCGGCTAGTGTCCAAGTTCTTGTTGTCTTTCATGGACGAGAAGCACATCTTTGGCGAGAACTGGGTTTGACGGGGTTTTTAGTACAACGCGAAGGATGGGGGTTGATTGCAACTTTTGCGCAGGGATGTCGGCATACCCTTCATATATATCTGATGGCAGGTACGACCCGGTAGCATGGGTTCAGGAATAATGACTCTCTACTATAACGATACCAATCAAGGTAAATTTAGAACACAACACTTGCAACTCGTATGAGATACCCTGTGATATGTTCGTCCGATTTTAGTCCTGAAGCCGCACTATCTCGACGGTATCAGGGTGGAGCGGACCGGTTGTCTAGACCGTTGGTTTTGTTCTCCCACTCGAACGAATAAAAAAGTAGTTGACACTCTTGCGCAGTAAGATCGCGAGGTGTAGGCATATCGTGGGGTTGGTCCAAGGACCCTGTGTTATTGAAATACACATCACAACGAGCTCGCGTGCGTATCCGTGTCGGTTGGCTTCGGCACTTGCTCAAAGCTATGGACGACGGATTGGTTCAGGACCGAGGTGCAGGCTGCCATGCGATGTCACGGGGCAGTCTAACGCCATTCTGGGAGCTGAGAAGGACCGTACATAAGATCCGTAGCCTAAGTTGGGGTGGGCGGCCCGCGAGCTGTTGTTGATGATGTTTGGGAGCAAGAGACAGAAAGGAGAGAAGGGGAGCGCGTGAAAATATACTTTGTGAGAAAAACCAGGTCGAGAAATGTGGAGACGCCGTCTCTTTCCCGGGTCACGAGGTTTGACGACGTGCTAGCCCTGATTGGCTCAGGCTTAGGCAGCATACTGTCATTAGCTAAGCGGGTAGCCTGCAGGCAACGACACCTCTTTATTTGTCTGGCGGACCACATTTCCCCCCTCCCTCGAACTCTTTTTCCTCTTTACACACTTTGCACCAAAATAATCAACCGATCTCGACGTAACTTCTTCTACTTGTGATTCGGTCAGTTTGAGTGCTAGAAGGAAACTGGGCTGCGCCCCCTATCCCATGTTTCTTGGGGTTCCGGTTCCGTCAATCAAGACGGAGTCCGTCACCGAGAAATGTAATGGGGGAGTGATTCCCGACATACTCCGAATTGTAAAATGACTGTTCTGCCGCCTCTCCGTACCCGTCCCGCAAGCCTCACCGGCACCATGTTCCAGTCAGCCTTGAGGCCTTCGACTCATCACCGGACCAAGTAATGCCTGTCGAGAGTTGCCCAGTTTGTCCAGCATCAGTCACACGGGCAGTGACAGCATTGCATTGCCCCGACGTTCCTTCATTTTGTCATTGTTGTTCCGTTTTTCAACTTTTTCCTGCCCCTTCACGCGCAAGGGCGCGTTTGCGCCCTTGCCGTTTTACACCGAAGCGCAAAGCCACACTCGCCAACAATGAGCACCTCGGTGCCTTGTCAGTCATACGCAAAGGCGCACACATATCTGCTGCTCGTGATAAGAATTGGCGCTCCGTTGGCGTTGGATTAGTTTTCCCATTCTCCTTGTCGCCGAAGAGCACTGCATTTTGGGGGCGCGGACTCCCCTCGTGCCTGGAAAAATGGGGGTTGCTGCCTCAGACCGTCTGGGACCCCCATGTCATTCCCTTCACCAAACACGTCTTAACCCAGGCAACCAAGTCGTTTCCCAACCCCTCCATTCTGCAAACGTCGATGCGTTTCTGAGGCCGCGGTCATGTTCTCTATCAATTCATCCATTCCGGGAAGGAGGGGTCATGTTTCTTTACTGTAGTTGCACCTATCTGACTCACTGGCTTGTTGTCTTTGATCTGCCTTGCACTGCGGCCGGCTTTCCAATCTGTAGGGGTTCAATTACCTGATACTCAACTTTGAGGCATCCTGGCTTAGATCTCTACAACCCACACCGTGGACGAATCAGAGCACGAAATAGCCTAGACTTTTTAGGAATTACATTGATGCCGAACCAGGATCGCCATACCGAACATGCGCAATCGCGTGCAAGAGTATGGTATTTCCATTCACATTGTCGTAGCAGGTCACCGTGCACTGCCATGTCGAACCTCAAGGCGACGTTGGCTAGGGGGCACTAAGTCCTTGAACCTCTCAGATTGTCTTGTCTGCCTCCCCAGGCACACTCTTCTGCCTGAGGGTGACTCAATTCGAGGTCGGTTCAACATGAAGCTTGATTGTTGGTCCGTCGGAGGGAGGTTCGTTAGATATAAACCACCGTCAACACCTTGTGGCCTTGGATCTCTTTTGTTACCAACAGACTCATCACACTACACTTCACACCAACAGTCTAACACTTCTTCGTCACAAGACTACCACTGCCTCATCCCACTACGACTCATATCCAATCCCCAATCCTCTTACAACCAACCGCCACCATGAACGCTACTGCCTACGCTGCCCCCATGACGCTCCAGAAGGGGAGCGAAGGGGAGACAGGTTTCCCCGTTGACCCTCGTGAGTGCTTCAAGGTCCAAGGGCAACGCTTCCTGTACTAACTCTACCACAGTCCCCGGAAAATAAGCCGAGTCGACCTCCACTACAGTTAAGCAAACACATATTTATTGACGGCGTTCACGGAAATATACACAACATGAAAGAGGCGACACCACACAACAGGAGCATGTCGTCTGCCTCACGGCGCTCCATTGGCTCGAGCACACAAACTGTACTTTTACTAGATTGGGGGACATGGGTTGGATAATCTTTATTTCAGAATGGCACGATGTCGGGCGTAGGGCTGCAGGACACTGACGAGCATGTGTACACGCGCAGCCCTAAAGACCGCCGCGGGATCTTGCATGCAGAAGGGCGTTTGGGACATTTCTTACGACAATATCATTGGAGGACGACGATGATTCCGATATGAGGGGAGGGGTACACACCACGCTCACAGTTACGATACGAGAAGGGAAGGCTACGGCATCTCTGTTAGGCATCTATAGGCTGAAATTGACCTATATACACACACTCACACGCTTACACGCACACGCCCTTCATGCGGCTATGGGGCTTCTATGGTGGCCACCCCTTCTCCAGCGAGTGAATGACCCTCTCAACCAATGCCGGGCGTCCTTCATCCGCTTTAGGTAATCGTGACATGTCGGTTGGGTGAATGTACGCCCTTTGCGGAGGGGGCTAAGCGGAGGTGGGAGTGGGAGCGGTGGGATGTTGGGCCACCCGTTGTCGTCTGGCGGGTCCCTGATGACGAGGCTCGGAGGTCGTTTGAGTGCAGGTCCTGATTGCATCTTTTGATAGACTGAGGTATACGTAAGATGGCTTGATGCTTGTAGTAGCTTGTAGACAAGGGTGCACACCTTAAGTGCTGTCCTCTCGTGCGGTGTTGTTCCTACTGGAGTCAATGTTGATAACATCACTCTATACAATGTACCAAACTAATGCACTGGTGTCTAATTTATACAAACTTTTCTGCGCGGCATTTTTTTTTTCCCGTTGATCATGTGTCTTGGTTCGAGGATCTCGGAGGACGACGGCGGTCCTTGGACGTGAAGCTCGGTTTTGCCGGGTTGAATGTGATCAACCCCAAGCACTGCCAGGCGGGTCACATGGCACTCAGAATTATCCTGAAATGGCGCTACAGAAAGCGGATTGTTTCTCAAAAGCCTGAATACGTGGTGCTGAGATGACGAGGGTTGATGGAAAACGCTGGAAGACTCTGGTGCATGGGCTGCTGAGGGGTAGGCATACCGTGGCGAAGTAACACCACCACCTGATGGGGAAAGACATGGCAACAAGAGCTACCCGGTCTGCCTTCTGATAGCTTCCATGCTTGATTCTATCAAGTCCATTCTCATATTGGGTTGATGTTCACCATTTCAATTGCCCTTGGCCTAACCTCTGCTAAGATGAGAGACAAAAATCTAAATTTATGAGTATCATGAGAAGCATCAGTTTACATGGCCATCGGCCAACATGCCAGCAATGGACTTGGAGTCATGCACGTACGATGATATAGAGAAGAAGAAGTAGCTACACCAAGGAGAGTTTCCTGTTTATAGAAAGACATCTGTGGTGCAAGGATTTTTGAAGCATAATGGCTTTGTGGCGATGAAGAAGTAGTGGCTATTTATTTAGTCTCTCTTTCAGAGCTTTTGCAAGGCTGAGACTCGCGGAGCTTGTTAATTTAATCGATTGCTACCTCGATCAATATTCTATGACTCAAGATTTGTCTCCAAGTGTGATTCTCCTCTTAGAGATAACCTCCACTGTGGGATATTTGTTTGACGTGGAGGACAAAGAAGGTACATAGCTTCCTTAAGGCAGGAAACCATGTTGCATACTAGGCGAGAAATCCCTTACTATCAAGTGATACTTCAGAGTTGAGATTTTCTGACACGCTACCTAAGTCCATCAAGTGAGCCTAAATCTCAACAATAGAGTTGTGCCTGATATCATCCCGACAGGCAGTCGGCCTCCCGCATACGACCAACACATGTATGAATACCCAATCATGTATTCATCTACTTTCGAACAAAATAAAAATCTGCTCCTACTTTACCTTGCTTCTTCTTCCTTTTCTTCTTCTTACCTCGCCCAACGCACTCACCTCGAAGAACGAATCTGCGAATTTTGCTACGATAACCAGGATCAATCAACATCGACGCGTAGCATCACCTTGCAATCGCCATGGACATCAGGGACGTTTCTAATGTCGGCGACTTTGCCTCCGTCATGGAACGGCTTCAAGCTGCCGCGGAACGAGCTGGTCGCAGAAAAGGACAAGTTCCTCATGATCATCCTCCGCCCGATATGCTGGTTATCCAGTTCATGCTGGCAAGATCAATGCACATATCACGCCCGGCAGCTCCCAGTGGAGGGTCGAATATTGCAACTACTCAGATCCCGCCAGCATATCCTCCCTGTGTGCATCCTGTAAATGAGCTGCAGCCTCTGCCAATCTCCAAGATGAGGTTGGAAGAGGACCACCGAGGCAAGCTGGTCATCGTACGGACAATGACGCCCACGGATCAGATCAACGCAATCATGGCCATCGCTGAGGACAAGGCAGGCACCGCTGTCTTACTTCAACTCTACAATCAGCCAGATCATAGGGTTGTGCAACCTGACGACATACTCCCGGAAGGCAGCATCTGTCTCATCAAGGACCCGTTCCTCAAGGCGACGACCGACGGCAAATACAGTTTACGGGTGGACCACATTGGCGACATCATCCTACTACCCGAGGGCGACGAACGCATCCCGTCGCATTAGAAGACGTGGACTCCTAGTGCCAGCTCCGAGAAGATCCGACAGCAAGGAAACAATGCTGTAGCACAGCAAGATTGGGGAAAAGCAGAAATCTTGTGAGTAGAAGATGGGATGACTCTTGATATCGAGGAAGTTTTAACTGAATGCGGCTTAGATATTCCAAAGCACTCGCCTCTGCCACCACGGCTGAACAGAAGCGCGCCGCGCTCCTTAACCGTTCCTTGGCAAATCTCAAGCTAGATCGCCCGGAGAAGGCACTGAGCGATGCCATTGAAAGCCGACAGGACAACGAACCAACCGAGAAGGGACTGTTCAGAGAAGCCAAGGCCCACTACGCGCTGGAACACTTTTCGCTCTGTGCCGAGAAACTACGTCAAGTAGTTATCCTGAACCCCAAAAACCGAGACGCAGGGAAGGAGCTGGAACGAACTCTGTGCCGTATTCGTGAGCAAGATCAGGGGATCTACCAGTGGAAGTACATGCACAACCAAGCCAAGGCCACCCCCCCTACAATCGACTGTGCGACCTACACTGGTCCTGTCGAGGTGCGCCACTCCCCCGGACGTGGACGAGGGCTCTTCATAACGAAGCCCGTGAAGGCTGGTGATCTTCTCCTCTGTGAGAAAGCCTTTACATACAGCTATGCTGGCGAAGATGATGCTGCCAGTCGCCAGAACATAAAGATACTCATGAGCTTGGACACAAAGAGAATGACGATGGGTGGGCAGGCAGATCTTCTTTCCGGCCTCGTACAGAAGCTCCATCACAATCCGCAGGCTGCCTCCCGCTTCTTCGACTTGCATCGCGGGAAGTACCAATCAGGCGAGACTGCACAACAGATTCAGACGGTGATTGATACGTAAGTAGCCATCTCATGGGCAAACGCGAAAGAGTCAGCATTAACTCTATCACAGGTTTCTTGTCGCGACGATCATAGGTTTCAACTGCTTCGGTGCACCGCGAGCATCCATCCTTCACTTGACTGATACGGACGTTCAACAAGGAAGCTATACCACCTGGGGCATTTGGACTCAAGCGTCCTGCATCAATCACTCATGTGTCGGCAACTGTCGCCGCTCGTTCATTGGAGACGTGATGATTGTGCGAGCTTCGAGAGACATGGACGCTAACACGGAGTTGCTGATCAGCTATCGGCCGCCTGAATGTGCGAGCTATGATGAAACTCAGAAGCATCTACAAAACTGGGGGTTCACTTGCCAATGTGAGCTTTGCGAAGAGAAGAAGTCGATCTCGAAGCAGACTTTCCAAAAACGCCAAGGGCTTTTCCGAGACTTGAAGAGCACCATAAAAGCTTGCAAGACTCTAGCTCATGAGTCCAACGCACAACGGCTGATTGGCCAGCTCGAGGAGACTTACGCCGCCGGTAAAGGATCCTACCGTCTGGAACTATGGGACTCGTACCTTGCGCTCGGCCAGAAGCGACTGGACAGGGGAAAACACTTTGAAGCTCTCGAGTTGTCGATCAAGAGCCTCGAGGCTCGTGGCTTCATTCTGGAGGCTAGCAGAGCTGTAGAGGTGGTATCCGGCAAGCGCCATCTGAAGGTCATCAAATGGGGTTCACCTGGAGCGCACATCGTAACGGCCTTCCTCGTCATGTTCCACGTGTACAAGATTGTGGCCCCTGAGCTATGCGTGCCAGCAAGAGAATATGCTAGGACGGCTTACGCAATCTGCTATGGAGAGAATGACAGTATTGGGGAGGTATTCGAGGAGCTCATATGATATTTGTACCAGCGTTGTTCCTCTGACAAACAGGTCATACTCGAAGATAGGGGGGCATTCCAACACCCATGCGCCATGGCTGGAATTGACACCACGGTGAACCACTTGCTGCACATAGTCCAGCATTGGTGCCACATAGTCGAGAATTCATAGAGGAATCAGAGAAAATCACGAAAAACCTTATCATGCTTGAACTGTGCATGACGCTGACCCCTTCTGAAACACCCAGACCGTGTGTGAAGCTATTGATAATCAGGCAGAACCCAATGAGTGGTGAACAATCTCAACGCTATTTTCCGCGCAAGTCTACATTGCTACTACCTCGGTTCTTGAATTCATGGTAAAGCCAGGTCATTCAACTGTGTTGAGTACCTCACCTCGACTTGTCCGCCCTTCGACCTGCTCACTCTACACGATCGGTTTCAAGTTTCAGTTCCAGTTGCAGATCCATCTCATTGCTGTCATGAAGCCTCAATTACGTGGACGCTTCTCAAATATGGAGTGCTTCTTGAAAGCTATGTTGTTCAGCAATCAGCAGGCGTACCAGCGATGGGTGTGAATCTGTCACCAGCTGCTGCCAGATGAATCGTGGTGCTTCTGCTGGAGAGGCCTTATGTAATTTAAGGTTCTGAAGTGACCAGGGACCCTGTAGGCCCCTGCCTAACCCGACTTTAATTGACGATAGTGGGACATTTCCAACCGCGTCTCCAGACGCGTCAAACCCCATGCAGCTCGCGATGGAGCCTTCTTCGTCCTTGACGGATTTGTCTGCCGTATCATCACCAGACTCATTTAGAACGGCCTTTCAATCACCGGATGCCACCTTCGAAAAACCGACTCCCATAGGCCCTGCATCTCCCAAACGCATGTACTCATCGGCGACTCTGCTCCCTCGTGAGCTGAAGGAGCATTGTCAAATCTACTTAGAGGAGCACCTCTGTACGTTAGCAAGCTACCCCCCCTCCTCGAGACATACGCTGACTGTAACCTAGACAATGGCGCACTCGGACTGTACAATAGCCTCCTCACTGCCGGATACTCACGAAAGATCAACACCAACCCGAAGCGCGTCCCTGTCCCTCCGTCAACCCACCTTGCCCTCCTCAACACCCTGACCATCCACCCGAGCCACACGAGTCGAGCCCCCGGCGCCGACCGTCTCGAGGTCTGCTCTCAGACGCTAGACTACCTGCGCAATCTGCTCGCCATTGTTGGACCCATCAACGCCGGCTTCAGGAATGCGTTCCAGTTCCATGGGATCCAGTACGGCCGCCGGAACCGATACCACGATGAGGAGGACGAGGACCTCGATGGTGATCAGATCGGCAACAACAAGTTGGCCAACGAAGATAGCATATGGCAGCGCGCGCAAGACTTCTGGGCTGTTCTCGGCTGGGCGTTCAATTGCAGCAGACTGCACCCCCACCGCTGGCGCTTCTGGAAGACCTGGCTGCAATTCATGATCGACGTTCTGGAGACCGATATCTATGAGCGGAAGCGCTTAGACGAGGAATCTTTGGCCTCATCTCAGCAACCTCAGAACTGGACACATATGCGGGAGTCAATCCTTGTCATGTACATCAAGCAGAAGACTGACTCCGGGCGAGGTGCTCTGAGAATGATCCTTCAAGCCGTCTTCGCTGACGGCTGCACCTCATCGTTGGCGAAGTTTCCTGAGGTGTTCAACAAGGAGACAAAGGGGCTACCAAGCGAGGATAAGAAACGCAAACGCATGGCCACGCTTGATATTGAGAACGACCAGTTTGGCGATTATTTCAACGAAGAGCTTACAGACGACGAACCGTCAGAGGCAGGCACGCCCGGAACGCCTCGCACACCTGCCAGAAAGGCTGGACAGTTTGTCGCTGCCCCACTGGCAGATTCGATACCTCTTCGTCTGAGACTAATGGAGCTCCTTTCCGAGGTTGCCTACAATATGCCCGAGGAGTTCATGGATCATAACGAATACACGTTGGACTTGTGCAGGTTACTCAAGCAGCAACCCCTGTCGTTCTTTCACCAATTTGTCACCGACATGAGTTCGTACATCCAGCGATACGAGGCTGCCTTCAAGATCGACTTCCTGGCCGTCCAGCTCGATCAACTGCTGCCCTCCGGATATGAAGACCCAAAGAAGGTCATCAAGGGGGAGGACAGTGGCATCATCATCAACGCAGACGTCCTCGAGTTGTGCTACCTTGGTCACCATGCTAATACCATCGACCCAGAAGACAACGCCAGGGTGGCGCTGATTCTTGAGAGCCTGCTCCACACACTGCCAGCAGCGGAAATTCAGGAAGCCGGAGACAGGCTCCGAAAAGCCGCGCTTAAGGGAATCGAGGCAAGGAAGGCCAAGGCCAAGGGTACGAACCGGAGGAGCGCGACGACCCCGAGTCGTCGGGGCCGAGGGAAAAAGGGCCCCAGTCCGCGGGATATCTACGCCAAGGAGACGATGGATCTAGCAGGAGAGCGCATGCTTCTCTACATTGACATCATGGGCGCTCATGAACCTGAAGGTGACGGAGACGAGGATGAGAATATGGATGATTGAAACTGTTTGTAAAAGGTCCGGAACGTAATTAGAAGGAAGGTCCAGGCGTTTAAGGGAGTCAAGGCTCACGATACCCATTCTCGAAAGTTTCGAGCTGCAATAAATCACACGCTATGCTTATGATTCTCTGGAAATGCCGGTGAATAATGTGCAGAGAGCGTACAGATACATGCATGTTACCTCAGGGACTCGCAAGTTGCGCACAATGCGATAGGGTCCCGATGTGGTAGGTGGGGTAGCTGATCGCAGGCGCAAAAAAATCCCCAGAAACCCCGCCAGAGTCTGTCACACGCATTCAACGACAACCCCTCCCATTTCACGAACGGCCAGTATGCCGGTGAGTCTTGTCATTTCTAGGCTCGTGAGATAGGAAGCTTACTCTGCGGTAGTTGATCGTAGTATCAGGTCTCCCGACCTCGGGCAAAACAACCCGCGCAAAACAGCTGCAAGCCCACCTCGCAGCACGCATCGCCGCCGCCGCCGCCGACGGCAGCAGCAGCAACAAACAATCACCACCGTACCGACTCCACTACATATCCGACTCGACGCTCTCGATATCGCGCGATGTGTACGACCTCGACCCGAACAAGGTGCGCGCGCACACGCGCTCCGCCAACGCCTCGGAAAAGGACGCCAGGGCGGCCGTCTATGGCGCCGTGAAGCGCGTACTGTCGGACCGGGATATCGTCATCCTGGACGGGATGAATTACATCAAGGGGTGGCGGTATCAGTTACACTGCGAGGCTAAGGCTATGAGGACGCCGAGTGTTGTGCTTCAGATTGGGTGTGGGGTTGAGAGGGCTAGGGGGATAAATGAGGAGAGGTTGAGGAGGCGAGGAGCGGCTGCATCCACAACCACGACGACTACCACGACGACGACAAAGGAAGCAGAAGGTGCGGACAGTCGGGCCCCGGAGATTGCAAAGGAGGCACACACGGAGGAGGAGACGAAGCAAGACGACACCGACGAAGAGCAGCAGCCCTACGACGCGGACAACTGGGACAACCTCGTCTTCCGCTACGAGGAGCCCAACCCGATGACGCGCTGGGACAGCCCGCTCTTCACCCTCATCTGGGACGACGACGCGGCGCAGACGGCAAAAGTGTGCGACGACATCTGGGACGCCGTCGCGGGTACGGGGCGGAAAGTCATCAAGCCCAACCAGGCGACGGTCCAGCGCAGCCGCGACACGAGCGGGGATTACCTGTACGTGCTGGACCGCGAGACACAGGACGTCGTGAAGAGGATTCTGGAGGCGCAGGCTGAAGGGGAAGAGGGCGGAGAGGTCAAGGTCTCACGGGGTGATGGTGATGGGGCCACGGCAGCGGGAGGGGAGAAGAAGGAGCTTGTTGTTCAGCTTCCTGGTCGCAAGGTCGGGCTGCCGCAGCTTCAGAGGCTGAGGAGGGCGTTTGTGGGTTTGAACCGCGGCGGGATCGGGCTCGAGGGCGTGGGCAACTTTAGCGCGGAGAGGATGAGGGAGAGCTTTGTTGGGTATCTGAATGATACGTTTGAGCAGGAGGGTTGAGTTCACTCTGGTCTTGAGGAAAGGGGGGGGGGGGCGGGGGGGGCGAAATGTTTTGGTGCGGAGAGAGACGGAGAGGCGTTTGCGATAGAGAACTGTATAATTGATACCCCTGAGATGGTGTTCACTACGAATTGGGAATATTCTGTGAGGCTCGCTCGCTTGTGTGAGAGGGCACTGAGTGAGGCGACATAGAGTTACGGTAGCGTGTCGCTCTGAGAAGTGTTGACCCTCGATTATCACTGCCAAGAACCTTATGAAGTTGGTACTAAGAATACCTTTTGACTTTTGGCCAATTCAGTCAACCAGAGAACAAACTGGTTTGTGAATTCGCCTCCGGCGGAATGTGCCCATCATGCCTCGATGTGGTCTTTGAAGAACTGGTATTCTGGGCATTCGGATGCTTGGTGTCAGTACCTTGGAGAGAAAGGAATTCTTGCGTCACTGCCTGCCCTTGATTGGTACTGTACACGAAATCCGAGTGAGGTCAACTCCACACCACCAGGAATGCTACAGAGGTCTCAAGATGATCTAGCGAGCCCAAATAGAAGGGACCCAAGACGCGTTTGGACATATGAGAAAAGCCTAGATCATGCTAGCAGGCAGACTTTGAGTGAATCTTTATTGTCTTGGTGTTGGTGGTGTTGAGCATTTTGGATACAAAACCATGTCTGCTGAGGGGCTCTTCGAACTTTACAAGTAGTAAGGCAAATCGCCAAGAGCCGCGTTACTAAATCTCAGTCAGACCATTTCCTCCTTTCCAAGACGGCTTGGCACCTCTCTGGGAGTAGTTGGCAGCATGAGCTACCCGGTTTCCGGATTCCGAAAGACAAGAAGAAAGTCTCCGTTCCAGATCTCCCGATCGGGAGGCAGATGCAGCAGCTTTACAAAGTAGCCGCCGGATTCATCGTGAAGGCTGTCAAAAAGCATCCACATCCATGAACACACTTCGCATACCGCTTCCGTGCCTGGACTACTCAACCCGAAAATCGAGTAGACACGTAGTCTAGACGTCCTCAGAGGTGCGACGGACTGCGACGGACACACCCGACTTGGCGATAAATCATAGATCCCAGGTGATGAGTTTCACTACGCCCTGAATGGGAGTTACGAATATTAGATCACAGTCTCGATACAGGGTGAAGGCTTGTCATCGGCCAAGAGAGGAGGCAACTGGGGTCGCGGCGAATAGCGCCTCGGATGTTAACCTAAAAGGTTCGGGACGGGGAATGTAGAAAAGCGGTAGAGTCTAGAAGACACCGGTGAATGGTAAACCGCGTTGGCAGCGACGTGGATGGCATCGTTTGTCTGGACTAGCCAACGCTGGCTCCGTAGAAGAACATTCTGTGACTGGGATCTGTGGTTTTATTGCACTCTACCCATGCAGACTGAGACGACTTCACTCGACCACGGCGCACAATGTGTCCTCATGCCAGCCCATGTATGTGTATGGCGAGGAGATTTGACACTGGCTTGATAGCTCACGTCGGAGCCTCGTTGTCTGATGTGAAGCTTTTGAGCGCTTTCAGCCCCAACCGTGAGATACTGGACTTGACTTGCCTGCATCTCAGCTTTAATCAGTTCTCATTGCGATCAAAGCGTGTCGGAACACAACACGAGATCTTGAACTTGGTTACGTTGTCTATAGTGCTGTTCCTGATGGGAATAATGTGTCGTATGTTTTCCATTCCGAGTTAGATCTCAATCAATTAGCTTCTCTTGTTAGAAAGGCCATGGGTACACAAATAGATCGACGAGTTTGAGACGAGGTAGACGGTCGTTTGCTGGCCAATGCAGAGAATTTTGCGTGTTCGCCGGCGGGGTTTGGGTGTGAGAGTCGAGACTCGGCCGCTTGCCTCACTTTAATTCGGCCGGCCCTACAAGCAAGTCATGTGCCCCTTGGCTCAGACCGAAGCTGGATGATGCGGGTCCACGATCAGGAACACGCAAAAGGACGCAAAAGCTGGATAACTCTTAGGATTGTATCCATGTTGAACAGGAGCAGGTTGTGGACCATGAGACCAAATGCTGCGACAGAGGAAAGTAGCCGTATGGGATGATTATGTTGCTGGAGCTGTGTGTCAAAGTGTGCGCGCCGCGCTATGGATACGGTTCGTCTGGAACGGGTAATAGAGAAGGGAAAAAAAGAACTGAGAGACATCCGTTGAATTCAGAGACGGGCAGGACGGAAGCACGGGCGGACTCAAGCAACGGCAGCGGCAACGGCAACGACATAACGGCAGGTGGCCCCCGCCTTGAGCCAGTCAAAAGCAACGGAGGGTGGGTTGGACGGGAAAGGAAGGGACGAAGAAAGACGGATGAGAGGGAAATCCAATCGCCAAGATCGCTGGCCAGCCACGAGTGATAAGCTTTGCCAAGAGGAACAGAGCCAAGACGGGCAGGTGTGGGAAAGACGGGGTGTCGGGTTGGGGAAGTTTTTAGGAAGGAAGCACGAAGAACGGGGGGAAAAGCACCACAAGCCACCTCACCTGCCTACCTTACCTTACCTTCCCACACTTTCCTGAAGGATACCTAGCGTATTACCTACTTATCTAATGGTGCAGGGTGCAGCCAGGTGGCAGTCACATCACATTCGTACCTGACGGGAGACACGACACTCACTTATTGCACCATCGATGCGCGCCAACTAGTCCGGCTGCAAACTAGGTACCAAGAATAGGTGACTTAGCAAGCGCCATCCTGTGCCTCCCTTCCATGATTCCATCTGTACCTACAGACTACCTAAGGTGCACACGATTATCTGCGGGGTTGAATGGAGCCAATATAGTCTGGAATTGACCACTGGATTGGACAGTAAAGCCAACAACAGGTTTTGGCCCGGCTGCCACCTGCCGTTCTGCTGATTCTCTGGCACTCCCGTCTGCAACAACGTAGGCCAAGTCGATCTGGTTTGCCGAGCACCGACATCACCTCACTCCCACTCACCACACGTATACCTAATGTATTACACCATTAGTACAAACACTTGCACATCAAGCAACCTTCCAAACTAGCAACACCTAGAAAACTTTTAGAACCCCTGTGTCGATGAGAATTTGCCGTTGGCCTGAGCTCTTGATCCCCTTTTGCGGACTCGGGAACGATGCAAATGGCCGAGAAGGGACGGACGGGAAGCTTGTTCCAAAGAAAAGAAAAATCAACCCCAGCGCCTCATATCCGTCACAAAAGACAGGGCCACAGGGCCTGCTAATGGTGGCCTGTCAGTGGTGGTTTTTTCTGCACAAGTTTCCCCTGCTCATTTCCAGCAGGGTACGTACTCGGCCAGTCACCCATTTGGACGTTGGCCCGCGTCCATGGGTTGCAGACGACCCATAATTCTTGCCCAGACATCCAGCTCATTGGACATCTTATGACCGGATGGGTGAGCCCGGGGCAAGGGGTGTGGTTGCAAGAGGGAACGCCGTGCCCGGGACCCCTGATACAGTGTGGGATCCTTCCTCAACGCTGACCTTTTAT